TACTGGGTCTTTTGGTTTGCTTAAGATGTTTTGGAGGGCTTTAGTTGGTTTGTGTGCTACATTATTGTATTATTGTATACACAGTAATCACCTATTCATGTAGTTTAAATACCCTAGTGCAATTAGCAGTCTATTACTGAAAGAGATGGGGAGGAAATGTGTGTCATTTCCCATTAGGACTATGCAGAGATCATGTGATATGCTTTGAAGGCATGAACTGGAACTCCAACAATGTCTCAGTTCCCTTCTACTCACTGTATAGCATGACCCAGAGCAAGATTTGGTAAAATCAAAATATCTAATCTAGCATGGAAAAACACAAATGGCTGCCATCTTGCTGCTTTTCAGCAGATTGGGACAATAGTTTCATGCAGGATAGAGCGTTATGCAGAGATGAAATGTGTTAAATTTTACAGTAATTGGGCAGGGACATTTGAATAATGCACTTAGAGACCCTGATTTATGCCTTTAACATGAACAACTAAAGTTTGGGGGGTGGAAAGTACAAATGCTATAGTGCTACCATTTGTCTTGCATTGAAGTTGGAACTGGTACCATTCTGAATCACTCCGCTCCATCCTGGGTAAATAAAGATTTGCTTCACAATATTGTATTTTGTCAAGGATTTTATCTAAGTCTGATGTATTCAGTTATCCAGGTTGTGTCAGAAAAGATCTTGCCATGATCAGAAGAGTTATGATAATTACCACCATTCCTCCTTGCAAATTAATAGATTGGTAGCAAAACCTGTGATATGGAATGGCAATTTAATTCTAAATAAGAACACTGAAAATAACAGGTATTATTTTTATTAGGTTCTATGCCCTACAAGTACAGAATAAACATACCCAGTCAGTTATTGCTTATTCAGATCTTGGCAATTAATTTATCCTATTAAACTAGATGTTTTCATTTATTTTTAGAATTGTAACTTACGACTGCATTAACAAAAATGACTACTACACAATTAGCCCGCAAGCAGTTATTCATACATACAATGGAGAAGTTGAATACCTGGAACTTGAACGCTGGGAGCAAGAATATCTCTATCATAGAGCACTTATCAAAATTACTATATTTGCTATATTTCGCAAATGGAAGTCATTTAACGTATGGAGAAAGAACGTCCGCTCCAAAAAGATCAGTGCATGTCGCCGAGGTTTACAGAAGAACTTATTCATTGTTAATGCTGTACGTATTGTGTTTTTATTACTGAAATAATACATGTGAAGGACATTGGATAATCTAAAGCGCTATATTGTTTTGAAGAAGAGACTCTGTAATATCAAAATGATTTATAGTGTACTATAAGTATTCCTTGTGATGAAATATATTGATATTAACATAGCTTTGTAGTTCCACAGTTCTGAATTAGTGCTGCTAGACTTTGGTTAGTATAGAAAGTCAATAAAGCTCATAATCTAAAAAATTAACAGAGACTTTTATTTCTGGAAGAGAGCCAACGATACCCCTCTTTTCACAGAAAGAGATATTTTACAAACAGAAAGACAGTTGAAACTATCAGCTCTGTGTAGTCACTTGGAAAGTAAAAGACAATATTTTTTAGTATATGGGAATTCAGTGAGAGACACTAATATCCCACCATTTTCCAGGAGCTAACAACTAGCCACATCTATAAGTCAACTTGGAGAACTTTTGTGGAAACATGCCAACACCCCTTTATCCCATCATGATATGGAAGAAACTAGGAGACACAGAAAATGTAGAAAGAGCAAACAGGTCTAACCATGTGACCTCCAACTTGTCTCAAGTCTAATGGAAATATAAAAGCCAATCTATTTGCTTTTGTTGTACTATTCAGAAGGAAACTTACACAGTACTTTCTAGCAGTTCTATCTTAGTGATTTGTTCTGTTTTGCAGTGTTTGAGACCAGCAATTCTAAACATCCAAGAAATGTGTTATCGAATTGGTGACATGGCGCTTTGTCAAGTTGAAAAGGACTATATATACACATTGATAGAATTTAAAGGTACTCAATTCAGTCAACTAAAAGATGTGAGTTTCATTGTTTCAGTTATTCAAGATTTTACATAAATAATTTTAATTGAAATGTAATACTCATTCATCTCTAACTGCATTGAAATTTTAGGTGGCATCTCATTTGTCAGAGTTCAGAGAATTAGCTAAAGAAGTGGTTAGAGGTGCATGTCGAACTGCACTGCTTGAATCTGGTTTCACTCCTGATGATTATTTTTATGGAACAGAGAGTACAGGTACAAAACTGGCATATTAAAAATAAATAATGTTTATATCTTTATTCTAAATGCCTGCATGGGAGTCTGTGTACTTCTTTTGTCTCAGGTAAGTGGGGTTAGAAAGTTATTTGAATTTTCAAATAAATGTATTTCCTGCAACTTTTGAACGTTGGGAATTGCAATTTTTAGTAGTGGCTCTTTAAAAATAAGACAGGATCAAAATATGATCTTATGTATGAGAAGGAAAGGCAGATCACCCAACATTACAGTCTCAATGTACAGCAGGGAGAAGATAGTGTGAATTTTTTGTGGCGGGGAACACAGCCTGGCCCAATCCATGCTCTGCTCCCCATCAGTCCCAATCATTTGAGTGGCCCCTGCAGAATCTCACAGGGACCAGTATAGCCCTCCCATTCCAGAAAGGATGCCTCTCTTTGGTCTAACATAAGTCAAACAGGGCTTAGAACAGGAAATAGGTTTTTTTTAAATGACAGTCAACTGTTTAGGGACGGATTGTTTCCTTAACTGTAAATATATTGGTTTAACCTTGTGCTTGGAGTAATTTCAGCAATGTGCACTTGTGTTTTTTCCCAGAACAGATAACAGTGGTAACAAGAAAAGAAGCTACTGCAAATACCATCGTTCCTCATGTTGAGAAAGATTTTTATGGCGAACAACCTGAAAGAATGACATACACAGAACAGGCCAATAAAAGAGCTCAGTGTGGAAGGTTGACGTGGTTAGTAATAGGATTTCTGCAGGTGTCTTGTCATAATATCTTTCTCTCGTTTTAGAAGTGGTAGGTGTAAAATAGCAAAAGTGCTTCTTGCAAAAGATGGTGATAATTATAAGCTAGGTTCACCTATCATATGAAAACAAAAACAAATGTCCCCTTATGGCTTAGCATGCTATATGGACTCACTCATAGACATCGCTACAGCCTCAAATCCTGTTTTGTAAAAATTTCTTTCAGCAGTCCTTCCATCAAAACCCAAGCTGCTCCTTAATAATCACAGTGAAAATATAAATGTGGAAACTATAGCCCACTCCTTCCTTGTTCTATTTAGTACTACTTACATCATAGTCTCAGGGTTCTTTATGTTTCTGGGCAATTGCCAGGGCAGCCTGTGATATCCAAGAGGGATGGGATTATGAATGGGTAAGTACTGTTGATATTACACAGTGTGAAAGAGAAATCAATACATTGGGAACATTTGTAATGATAGTTAACCAAGCAATGTTATTTATTGCTTGCTCTCTTTGGCCCTTTGTTTTAATTTTGTTGCTGCTTTTTGTTTGTCGAAACTATACTTATATAATGTGATCTTGTTTTACTGTTAAATATTTTCAAAGCCACTTTGAATTTTTCCTTTGAGGGGGGAATAGGTAGGAGAAACACTTCTTACATAAGTTATTAACTTAGATCACAGATAATTTTTGGCTCATATATCACAGTGAAACATTAAACATATATCTATGAATGTATTTATTAATCAAATTTATATGGCCACCCATCTAACCAGTAGAACTCTGGGAGGCAGACAGAGATAAAAACATAATATAGTTAACCAAACCAGTTAAAAGAAAAACCAAGTTGAAGCCCCCATAAAAATCTCATTACCAACCTAGCATACACGCCACTTCAGAGCTTCATTAAGACCCTGACCCCAGTGCCTGGAGAAAAAGCCAAGTCTTTACAGCCTTGCAGAAAGCCAGCAGGGACAGGGCCATCCATACCTGTGGGAGGGCAGGCTGTTACACAAGGCAGATGCAGTAACAGAGACAGTACACTTCCTAGGATCCCCTAGATGGCACTGCTTCATGAGGGGATTCGGAGAATGCCCACTCTGTCAGATCTGGAGGGATGGGAAAAAGCCATTGGGAATAAGCATTTCTATAAGTAACTTGATGACCAGATTGGGAAACAGACTCCAGAGGAAGACTATTACTATAGGCTACAATAGCAGAATTTTGCAAGCTATTATAGATTGGATTGTGCTTTACCTCTTCTCCCTCTTATATCCCAGTGAATCAGGGGGAAACATGGCTGTGTCTCTTCTGAATACTATCTTGTTTTCCAGGATTTAAGGGAATGTTTCAGCCCTCTTTGCTTATATAATAATTCTTGCCTATTTCTCTGAAGGTCAGCTCCTGATTCTTTATACCTGGCCCTGTTCCATGTAAGGCTTTAAAGATGACAACCAGGACCTTGGGAACCAGTGCAGTTCATGTAGCACTGGTGTTACATGTACATTCTGTAGTATACCAATACTGAACATGCCACTGCATTCTGGAGCAGTAGAAGCTTCTGAATGTTCTTCAAGGGCAGCCCAATCTAGAGTTCATCGCAGTAGTCCAGTTGGGAGGCGATTAAGACTTGAGTGACCGTGAACAGTGCTTCCTGATCTAGGAACAGGCACAACTGGTGCACAAGATATATTTAAGTGAAGGCTCTCCTTGAGGAATAGCTGCAAGTCCAGGAGCACCCCCAGACTGCATACTAAAACTGCCTGGGGGAGTATTACACCATACTCTTAAGTATCTGACTTTGCCTTGTTGTGTGACATGTAATATATAGGAAAGCCATTCCTGCTTAAATTTAGTTTCAAAACAGTAATATTCTATTACTGAATACTGTTAATTTTGCCATTGCTGTATTTTCCCCAAGTTTGGTTTCCCAGTCTGATATTGTCTGCAAAGTATCTCTTTTCCAAAGTTGAGCCAAGTTTATCCTCATGGCTATCAATGTATATCTGAATAATTTTTTGCCTAAGGACTTGTCACTGATCTCTTGTGCTTTTTCTCCACACACACACACACACACACACACACATGCATACACACTCACACTCTTTTGGAAAAGCCTCACTGAAACCCATGGGTCTTTCCGTGCAGTCTGTGCTAAGATAGAAGTCTGTATTGCACTGATCTCTTGTGCTTTTTCTACACACACACACACACACACACACATGCATACACACTCACACTCTTTTGGAAAAGCCTCACTGAAACCCATGGGTCTTTCCGTGCAGTCTGTGCTAAGATAGAAGTCTGTATTGCATTGTTGATTTGTTTGTTTCTTCCCAGCTTTATTCGTCTTGCCGATTACCTTATTGTGAATACAATGCATGTCTTGGCAGTTAAATCTGTCACTACTCTTTTGAATTACCTTACTGATAAATTGAAGAAGACACCACCTTCAGAAGTTATCCAGAAATGGAACACCGATGTAGTAACTGAAGTTGTGGAAAAGAAGGTAATATTGACTGAAATAGAATGTTAAATTGTTAGAAATGACTTGATCTGTTAGTAATAATTTAAGAAAACTTACTATTTAAGGCAGAAATCACTGTTTTCTATTGATAAATAATAGTCATTTTGTTTTGATCTGATATATTGTTCCTGACTTTTCATATTCTGTGAAAATGTGTCTCTTGAATCCATTTTATCAAGGATCAATAAAACACACCTATATGTTTTATCATTGGAAAATAACTCATAAAGGGTTCTGTGTGAAGGCTTATAACATAAGAAATGGTGCCTGTTGGGAGAAGTAGTGCTGAATAATATCCAGAAAGACCTCTACTAATCCTAACTAGTAATAAAATAATATTCAGTTTGAGAAAATGGATTAAAAATTTCAATTTTAGACAAAAAAAGTGAAAACTTTATTTTAAGAAGAGTATCAAAATTAAGGGGTCCAGTAACAGAGGATACATATTAGAAAGAATAATTTAATATGAAAGAAGAGAAAGGGATGTACAAACAGCTGATGTTTCTACATAACCAGAATGATCTGATTTAAAGATAAGAATTAAAGATTGACTATAAAACTGAAAATATGTGTAATTAAAAAAAATCCATAAAACAAAGAGGCAACATAGTAAAAGGAAAGAAAGACCTTCTGCAACATTCCTAACTGAAACATGCAGTCGCATTGGGCCTGTGAACATTTTCTGAAATAAGTGCCTACTATATCTGAACCAATGCTTGGGAATTATTTACACTGACTGCGAACTTACTAGGCTAGAGAACTTTAGAGTTTGAGTTCATTGTCTGATTTTTAAAAAACACTTTTTTTTTTTTTACTTTAGGGAACTTCAGTGATTGCAGAGGAAGATGAGACATCCATTCCAATGTTTCTTGCAGAACTAATTTTAGAGATCCATGCACTGTTGTTTGAACCAACTATGGAAGAATTCCAGGTTAAAATTCATTTAGTTTTAAAAAGGTTTCCATTTTAAAAAATGTAATCATGGTGCACAAGTGTACTTGGAAAAGTGAGCTTTATGTTTACTGGTCAGATGTAACTCTTGAGTGGTATAGATTTAGGCTGGATGGTACCTCTGGAAATAACTTTTGATTGTCCAAGTGATCACTTAGCCTTGAGTCTGACCAAAATATTTGAGAAGCATGGACATCCTCAGACAATACAATATTAACAAGGACAACCTATTATTTCTTAATGACTTGAATTTCTATGAGTGTAGGGCAACAGGAATGAAGCTAGCACTGTTAAAAGCTGTGTAAAAGGTGGAGCAAACATTGGAAGAAGCAGTATTTGAAGGCATTTGGGCAATGACAAAGATGCTGTGAAAATTAGGAAGGCATGAAAATTGGGTAGCCAGCACAGAGGTAAAACTCTAAGTTTGTAATCTAGGGGTATCTGTGTTCAGAATAAAAACCTCTGTGTAGTCCTGCCACTTGTTCACTGGCACAGAATAGCCATGGCACTTAATTAATTATTTCTTAAGATGACTATCAGTGAGACCATGCAAAGCTAGTCAAGTGTGACTCTACTTTTGGGATCTCTGTCTGTCTTATTGTGGCTTTAGTATAAGTGAAAACTTTTAAAACAGAAAACTCTAGAGACCTAGCCTTCAAGGTGTTAGATTTGGGGATCTTCACAAGAAATTTTAAGATTGTTGTAAAGGATACAACAATATTTATGTGAAGAGCTCTGAAAATGCTATGCACATGTTAAATGTTGCTCTTCACGTCTAACATAACAAACGTTTTAATAGATTTTCTTCTATTTCGTCAAACAGGATACTATGGCAGAGATTGTGTCTCAATTTCAGGCAACTGTGTTATCTGTTGCAAACCTTGTTCCTGATCAGTATTTTGATGCTTTCACTTGTCCTGTTATTAACAACAAAATTGAAGAAAAAACATGTGGTGAAGGACCAAGCTTAGCAATAATGTTTAAAGATGATAAACATCTTCAGAATATTATCCTACAAATAAAGGTATATGGCACCTTTTGTTATTAATTTATCTATATTTAAATATTTATTTCAAATTGCAAAGGTACTGAAGTACCAGTTTCAGACTCGATTGATTGATTATGTACCATCAGGTTTTCGACTCCTAGGAACCACATATATAGATTTTCTCCATGACAATTTGTCCATAAACTGGTTCTTCAGGTCTTCCAACGGTGTGCCCATCACCGAGGTAACTAAGTCCATCCACCTTGCTACTGGTCATTCTCTTTCCTTCTACCTTTCGCAGCATAGGAAATAATTTGAGCCTGGTCATTTGTGCCTCAAGTGAGAACTCTGGATTGATTTGTTTGATGATACATTGAATCTTCTCAAACACCAGAGTTCCAAAGCGTTAATAGTCTTCCTATCCTGCTTCTTCAGATTCCAACTTTTGCTTCCATAGAGTGTCACAGGAGTGCTCAATTCTGATCTTTGTAGGTATAGACACATCATGGCATTTGAATATCTTTTCCAAGGCCTTCCTGGCTGCTCTACCAAGTGCTAGTCTGCGGCACATTTCTTGACAGCTTGTTTCCTTACTGTTGATGGTTGATCCTGAAAGGCAGAAGCTGTCCACCACTTCAATACCTGTCTGTTTTAAGGCTGATTGTTCTGCCTGTTGTCATTAGTTTGGACTTCTTTATATTTACATTTTTCACTTTGCTCCTTAACTTTTATTATTAGAGCTTGCAGATCCTTTGCATTTTTGGCTATCAGAATAGTGCCATCAGCATAGCGCAGGTTATTGATGTCTCTTCCTCTAATTTAAAAACCATGTTCATCTTCCAATCCAGCTTCCTTTAATATATATTCATCATATAGGTTGAATAAATAAGGGGACAGTATACAGCCTTGTTGCATCTTTTGCCAATGTGGAACCAGTCTGTTTCACCATGTTCCATCTGTATTGTGGCTTCCTGATCTGTATATAAGTTTCTCTGAGGACAATGAGATGTTCTGCGATTCCCATTTTTCTGAGCACATTCCACAGAGATAATCAAAGGCCTCTCTATAATCAGTGAAACACATAATCACTCCTTTTTGTTATTCTTTGTCTTTTTCAATTATCCAGCGTGCACCAGCAATAATGTCTCATGTTCCTTGGCCTTTTCTAAAGCTAGCTTGAACATCTGGCATTTCTTTTTCCATGTAGGGCTCTAATCTGTATTGGATGATCCTAAGCATTATTTTACTAGCCTATGAAATTAAGGATATTGTACAATAGTTTGCACACTGTGTTAAGTCTCCCTTTTTTTTTTTTTGATATTGGAATGTAGATAGGCCTCTTCCAATCTGTTGGCCACTGTGTCATTCTCCAGATTTGCTGGCATAGCTTGGTTAAAAACTTTACTGATTCTTCTTTGGTTGCTTTCAGTGGGTATTCCATCTGTTCCTGTAGCCTTCCGATTTGATAATGACCAGAGCGCTGATCTAACTTCATCTTCTAGCACTAGAGGTTCTTGTAAGTAGGGAATATCTTCCAAGAGGATGTTGAAGTCTTTACTGTACACTGTTTCAGTATACTCCTTCCATCTTTCTTTGATCTCCTTTGAATTGGTTACTATCTCTCCATTGGCATCCTTTTGCATACCAATTCGAAATCGGAACTTCCTTCTGAGTTCAGAGATTTTTTGGAAAGAATTTCCTTGTTTTTCCATGTCTGTTTTCCATCTTTAGTGTCTTTACAGATGTTGTAATATTGCTTCTTGTCTCTTCTAACAGCTCTCTGAAACTCTTCGTTAAGTTCCTCCCTGAGATTTTTGTCTGTCTTAGCTTTGGTTTCTCTTCTCTTCTTGGCAATTTCCACAGTTCGTTCTGACATCCAGTTTGCTTTCTTCTCTTTCTTCATTTTTGTTAGTCTCTTTTCACATTCATCTTTAACAACTTCTTAAAGTTCATTCCCTAATTTGTCTGGTTTTCTATCAATGAGATTCAGGACTTCAAACCAATTCCTGATATTCTCCTTAAAAATGGTGGGTATATGTTCAAGATTATATTGTGGAAACTGACTGGCTTTCTTCTTCTTTAACTTAATTTGGAACTTGCACATGAGCAGTTCGTGATCTGTTCCACGATCAGCACCTGGCCATGTCTTTGATGCTATAATTGAGTTCTTCCACCTCCATTTAGCAATAATAAAGTCAATTTGATTACTATCCGGTGATGTCCATGTATAGAGGCATTGTTTTGGTTGTTTGAAGACAGTGTCAGCTATGAAGAATTCACTGGACTGGCAGAATTGATGTTGGTCTCCTGCTTTATTTTGGTTTCATAAGCCATATAATCCAACTACATTCTCCTCTTTAATGTTTCCAACTTTGGCATTCCAGTCCCCAATCACAAGCAGCACATCATACATATATATATATATATATATGTGTGTGTGTGTGTGTGTATCTTTATTAAAATTTTTATAAAGAAAGATAAAGACTAACAAAAACTAATATATAGAATAAAGAAAAGAAAGAAAACAAAGCCAAAAGTGCAGAAAAGAAAAAAAAAAGAAGGAAAATATAAAGAAGTAGCTTCTGATTTTCTTTATAGCAGTTATAAGTATAAATGTAAATTTACCTCTTACTCTATGGTTACATCGTGATTTTCATTTTTTTCTATAATCTTTTTTTTAATCATTAAACCATAAGTCATAAGTTCATCTTTTCGGTTTCACACAAAAAGTCTTTAAGGGATTTCCAGTCAGCCATACATTTACATAATGTCTTTTCTCTGATCATTGATGTCAATTTGGCCATGTCTGCAAATTCCATCATCCACCATCCATTCCACATGGCATTGTGGGCAATATTGAAGCTTTCCACCTTTGTGCATATAATAATCTCGCTGCAGTTATCGTGTATAAAAATAAAGTTCCATTACTTTTTTCCAACTGTTTATCAATCAGTCCCAAAAGAAAAATCTCTGGTTTCAAGAGATTTCAAAGGGTTTCAGCCCTTTCAACCACATATTTTCCCATTGGTTCATCTAAATATTATAACCAAAGTTTTTAGCCCACTTTATCATATATTCTTTCACTTGTTCTTCTCTTTCAAATTTCAATAGAAGTTTATACGTTTTAGCAATAACATGTTCATCATTTGTGCACAATTCTATTTCAAACTCAGTCTTACATTGCTCAAAACCAAAAAAATCATACACGTCTTTCTACTCTTAATCTATCTAAAACAAGTTGGTAGTAAATAGCGAATGATTGCTTATTTTATGGTAGGCATTTCAACTTGCTCTTTAACTTTTATGTCTCTTGCTATCATTGCTCCTATGCAAGCATAATACAATGTAGATTAAGGACAGTGAAAAACATAAAGTAGAAGCAATGAAATAGAACCATAGTATGGATAGAGATTAATTAAGGTTTATAATAATTTAAATATCTTTTTTAATTTTTAGGAAACAATTGATTCAGCATTTGAAGCAGCCAATTTATATGCAGCTACTTTTGAAAAGTTTCGATCTTTTTTCAGAGAAAATGAAAGCCTTGATTTGGTAGCTCTGAAGAAAGAAGAACCTGGTAAATATTGTTTTATATTTTGTTACATTTTTTTTTTGTCCCGAATTGACCAAAAAAAAAAAAATGATTTCCTTACCAGGCTGAATTATGCTAGTAAACATTTGAAATACGTAAATTATAGATAAGCTATGGATGTAGCTATGGATGTAGCATTAAAGAAGTTCATGTAGGTGGCAGCACCTAGCCAACTTTGGCCAATTTTGGCAATGCTAAGCAGGACCTGGCTGGGTGGGGGGCGGGGGGACAGTCAGAACACCCCAGAAGAAACAAATGGGAAGTCACTTCCATAGCATTGCCCGAACTACATGAGACTCTATAAAGTCACTAGAAGTCAAGTTTGATTTGAAGGAGATCTTACTTTTATCTGAAAAAGTTTCCTATAAAGGATTTGTTCTAAGTGGAAGCATTGACTTTTTTGAACAGATCATACCTATACTATATTTCAAATGTTTTTAAAAGGAGAATTCCTTCTTCACTTTCCACAATAAAGATCTCTTACTGTAGTCTGAAATGAAGCAAAGGCAACCTATACCTAAACCAGTCTTATAGCCTTTAAGAAGGTTGTCTCTGCCTCTTTAGCTATTACGTTAGCACTGCAAAGCATAGATAAAGGTGCATCAGGTTCAGCATTATGTAACTGGGAGAGGTGTGTGGCTGCTCACTGACCAACTGTACTTGGTATGATATGAGTGGTTAAAATAAATATCTTTGTGGGTGTACCCAGTAACTAAATGCATGGATAGTGTTGTACAGTAATAAACCTTTAAGTTGAGATACGTATTAAAGGATTATACATAAAGTGTGTGTGTGCATGCGTGTACACACATATAAATATCTACACATACATACAGTACATACATACATATAGAATAAATTCTTGCATTAATGGGGCAAGGGGTGTCTTTTAAGCTGAATGTCCACTAAATGTCAAAAGGCATTTTTTGAGTCCCAAAACATACTTGTACATGAGACAACTTGATAATCTACTACTGTTGTCTGGGGCATTATTGTCTGAAATTCAGACCAAAGTTAGATCCAGCACTATTTGTCTATTAAATCCAAAGTTCTCTAAACCCAGCTTCAAGTTTACTTTTTTGAACTGAATTTGAATAAAAACAGAGGGAGACTGCAATATTCTACGATAGGGTGGTTGGTTAGCTCCAAGAGCATCTGACATGGAAAGTGCATGTTTCTTTAGTTCATGTTTCCTAGTAGTAGTAGTTTCAGGCATGCAATACTTTGAAGACAAAATGATGCTTAAGGGTGCATGCACATAGGTCCACTTGAAGCACCAATCTGCAACTCCTTAAACCAAACGTCCCTTTTCCCAGGATCTCACTGGAGCTGGCAGCTGTGGAATCCCACAGAAAGACATAAGCTATCTTAAGGAATTGCAGAATGGTGCTGCACATAGGTGTCCAATATAAACTTTACGGTGAAAGAATTATGAAATGTGTATTGCAGTGACACAACATTTTTTGTTGTTTGCCTCCCTTGACCCCTGACCCCCGCTATAGATACCTTGTATGCAGTGAGCATGCTTGCTTTCTGAAGCACTATTGTGCCATTCAATCCAATGCACTTCACAGTTATAGTAGCTGTGTTAATCTTATGAGATCTGAAATGAATATTCCATAGAGGCAGTTCCATTTTTACAGCAACCATCTTTTAAATAGTTCAAAGCTTTCATATGTCCCAGAATACTTTATCAGACAAACACTGTGACAAACATAAACACTTGCTATTATTAAGCATTTGATTGGCCTAAAAACCTAGCACTTATATAAAATGTTTAGTATTGCTGAGATTGTTTGTGGCTAAGTTTCATAACATTCTGGAACTGGGAGTGGCTGCCTTCATACAAAAGGGACAAAATTTGTTTATTTCTATAAAAACTCTCTATAGACCAAACACAAGGAGATAACCCACTTTGAATAATCTCTGTCTATCACTAAAAAAAGTCCTTTTTTTCTAAATAAGAAGGGTGAAATGTATTTGAATTCTTTCCCATGAGGAAATATAATAGTTTTTTTTTCCCCAAGCCATCTGTAAATGACTAATTGTATCCTTCTGTTTCAAATAAACAGATGTTAAATTTTTTGCTGAACAACTGGAGAGATATCACAGACAACACAAAGAAGCTTTGGCAATAAAACAAAAGAGACCCTTAGGTTTGTTCCTCATAGATGCTAAGAAGTTGAAAGAGAAACTAATTCCATCACCAAAGCGTTGTTTGGAGGTAAATCCATATTGCCCCTTAACTTCTGCATACTAAGGGGGTTTTCCATGTGTGAGAGAGACAATGTAATATCAAGGATATATGGATGATTGATTGATTGATTGATTGATTGATTGATTGCATTTATATCCCAACTTTTCTTTGGGACCTGAAAGAAATGTCCCTTCGTTTAGTCCCTAACATAACCTTGTGGCTTAGAGGTTAGATCTCATAAGAGAATGTAGATCTTGTAAGATCTCATAAGAGAATGTAGAAAATTTTGAAATTGACAAGTTTTTAGCAATTCGTAATAATTTAAAAAACATTTTTGGGGGAATCAGGGATGTCTCTTGGGGTCTGGTAGGTATTGATTTCTACTTCCAGTAACTAGAAGACATTTTGCAAAATTCTGTTGTCAGTGTGACACATTGTGAACTGAAATACGATATCCATTTAATCATGACATGGCACTTACTCATTATAAACTGCATAGTCTTGAGTAAGGAATGTTAAGTAAAATCCTCTCCTAATATAACTTTCCCTTTTACAATTTGTCCAATGCTTTTAATACTTTCTTTTGTATTTAGGTTATTAATGAAATGCTTCCTGTAATTGCAAAGAAAAAAGTGACCGCCATTCTTGCTGAGGCAAATGATGCTAAATTTAAACTTGAGTTTCTTCCATGCACAACTACTGAATATGTGGCTAGCTTGACATTCCTTGATGAAATACAAGACAGGGTACGTTCACTATATTGCTCTTACTAAGTAGCGTGGGCTAACAAGTTTCATTTTGCTGCCATTGCCAGACATGAACTTTGCTTGCTTTTAGACACTCTGACATCTTCTATCTACAGCTAGATAATTTAATGAGAGCCATATACACTATTCAACTTTCTCATAGGAAATCAAATAGATACTTTTGATCTGGGTATATTTTTTTCCAGCAGTGGCTAGCCAAAGCCTTTATAAAGCACACAGTGAGAATACATTCACTTCTATCCTACATTTGTCTTTCTAGGAGATAGGTACAATGTAACATGCATGTCTAAATCCAGTCTTGCTTTACATCCTAGTTGAAATAAATAGGGCATGAAACATGTATCACAACTGGTTGTGTGGCCTGTTAAATAATAATTTTCCTTTACATCTGCAGTGCCTAGTGCTCACCAGATGTTTCTAACATCTTTCATAATCCCTTGCCATTGGCTATGCTAGCACTAACTGAAGTGGGAAGAATTTGGAAGACAGCAGAATGTTGGAGAAGATGCAATAGAGGAGAAGTAGAATCAGTATAGTTTATCCCCAGTCTAATTAGTACAGGTAGTCCTCGTTTTGCGACCACAATTGGACCCAGTAACTTGGTTGTTAAGTGAAGCAGTTGCTAAGTGAAACCATGACTGTGCTTATGATCTTACTTCAGCTTTCCTTTGCTTTACAGACTTGTGAAGGTTGTAAATGTGAGGATTGGTCATAAAGTTACTTTTTCATCACTGTTGTAACTCCAAACAGTCACTAAATGAGGTAGTCACTAAATGAGGACTACCTGTACGATAAATGCCATAGAAGGTCATATTGGATACATTTATCCAAGAGAAAAAAAAATATTCCACAATTAGCAGTATCTTCTGCAAGACCAACCAAAATGTTACAAGTTTATACATTTCCTTTGGTTATTTGATTAGCACTTGATGTCCCCTTCCACATCAAACTTGATTTTAAAAACAAATTTGCATTCTTTGTTTTTATAGATAACCTATGAATGTCCATATATGGGTTTAGTGTATAGGTAAAGGCATACCATCAGCCTCATCAACCATGGTATCCTCTTAGACTGTCTTTATTATGCTGTGATTCTGCTTCTTCCTCAGTGGGAAGTTCCAGATAATGGTGGTAGAAAAGGATAAATTGACTTGATGGTTACTTCATTGTGGGGTTCCATTGGGACTGGTTCTCCCCCTCCCATTTTAATATCTGTATGAAGCTACTCGAACTCATTTGGCAGTTTGGAGTCTGGTATTGTCATATGTTGTTGATAGTTTTATATCATGACCTTGAACCACGCTAGAGATGCTGCCAAAGTCCTGTTTTAGTTCTTGGATACAGTGAGGATCTGGATAAGGAAGAACAATTAAAATTGACCTCTAGCAAGACAGAGGTGCTGTTTATCCAGTGTGGTTCTCTTTGGACCCCAGTGATTACTCTGGATGAGGAGGTACTATCCTAAGGGAGCAGCTCCTGGATTTGTGGCTCCTGCTAGGGGAGCAAGTAGAGGCCATGGCAAGGGGGCATTTTGCCTCATGTGTCAATTCTGGCTTTTCCTGGGAAAAGGAAATGTTTCTTGTGACAATGACTCATGCCCTTATCATCACCTGTCTAGGTTACTGCCATGAATTCAACATGGAGCTGCCTTTAAATACCAAGCCAAACCTTCAGTTAATACAGAATACATCAGCCTGGATGCTCACTGGGAGCATGTAACACCTTTATTGCATGCCCTGCATTGGCTGCTTATTGGCCTCTGAGTACAATTTAAAGTGCTGGTTTTAACCTATAAAGCCCTTTATGGTTTGGTGCCAAGTTATCTGCAGGAGCACATAGCCCTACTGAAATCAGCCCAACTGTTGCATTTGTTCTGGAGGAAGCAACTGACCATTCCCCATTTCTGAAAAGTCAAGAGAGTCAATACTGAGAAGCATTGTTTCTGGTGGTGGCACTGGCCCTCTGGAAAGTTAAATTAATTCCTACCCTGGTCACATTCCGGAAGAAACTGAAGACCAAGCTCTTCTGGAAAGTATTTGTGTTGTAACACTTAGGAGATTGGCAATATATTTTTTGTTTGGTCACTCCTTGTATTTTTGCCTTTTTGTATAATCTTTTCTTAGTATTTGTAAGCCACTGAGAAGTAGGTAGATTGCAGCAGGATAGAAACCTAAAACCTAAAAGTATTGGATCCTTCGGACACCTCTGTTAGATTCAGTTTCTTCCTCTATAGCTTCTCTTCATTTAAGAACTTGGCTACTGGCATTCCTCTAGTATCTTGCCATGTGATCAGCTATTGTATCTCCTTTTATTTAGCAATGTAGGAGAATCCTTCAGGTAAAATTTCTTTGTTATAACAAAGTTTATAATGAGCTCCTTTCTTAGTTGCTACTGCCTTGACTTTTCCTCTGTTTGAATGATTCCACCAGTACTTGGCATTTCATTCGCTCTTGGCTTCTCCTCTCATCAAAATATGTCACATTGTGTATCCTACTTGCTTCCATGGCCTCTCTTCTATCCTGGAGAAGTCTGGTGCTTCTCTCCTCTCTTCTTCCAGGGTAGCTGGTCCTGGAAAGATCTGTGACTCTTCTGTTGTTTCTCTCTACACGTTTGCTGAGGCTGAAGAATTCTCTTCCCATTCCTCCCTCTATCTGGATGACCCTAGAACAAAAGAAATCCCCTTCTCCTCCCTTTTCTCTCATCCTGGGAACTAGTGGGGGAAGGAATCTCTATCTCCTCCACGAGGGGATCAGAGGCAAGGGTGTGTCCAACACAATGATCATTGTTCAAGCTGTTCCTTGTGTTATATAATATGTATATGAAATTGCTGGGAGTGATCGTCCATTTGTTCGAGGTAAGTGAACTGACGATTCTCAGTTGTATACCATCACTTCAAGCCATGCCAGAGAGGCTGTTATAATTTGGATGGGGAGAGACAAATTTAATCCCTAGTGACACAGAGTTGCTGTCTTTATAAACACTTTGGCTTCCCAGACACATCTGTTCCACTATTAGCTGTAGAGAGAGTCATGGTAACACTGAAAGAACAGGTCTATAACTTGTGGGTCCTTCTGAACTCATAGCTCCTGTTTGAACAGTAGGTGAAAGCTGTGACCTGGGAGCATCTGCCCAGCTTTGGTTTGTGTGCTGTTTACATGCCTATTTGAATCAGGAGGCCTTGATGTCAGTGACCCTAACCCTTATCATCATATATCTGGACTACAGTAATATGCTATGTGTTGGGCTGTCCCTGAAGACTACTTGGAAGTTGCAAGTAGTTGCTTCAGAATGTGGCAGCCAGATTGTTTGCAGGGTGAAACTGCTATTGCTGCATCAATTGCTATTAGACTTCTGGCCCCAGTTCAAGATGCTAGTTATTAACTATAAAGCTGTCACAATACTAGGTTACATTAGGGACTGCCTTGTCCAGAGTTAATCCATGTGTCCTGTTCAGAGGTCTGCTCAAGATTCTGCCTCCACAACAGGTAAAAGAGATTTGAACCAAGGAGCAGGCATTCTCTGGGGTAGCCTGGACATTATAGAATATGCTGTCTACATATGCCCCCTTGCTCCTAGAGTTTAGGAGAGTGCTCAAATCCTTTATTTTTAAGTGTAAGTGGGACTTTGATGTTGAGGTCTCACTGAGTAACTACTTTATTTTTACTTTATAACTACTTTGTAACTACTTTATAAAGCATTTTGAGGGGTTGGGAGCACATGAATGTTGAGGGATTGTTTTTTATGATTTGTTGTATCATAGTCATGTGATTGGGATAGTATAAAATTGAGTGAGTAAATCAATCAGTAGAATTGCCAGAAATTAATATTAAATAATGCACTAGGTGAAAGAAAATCAGATGAAGTTAAATGCAATAAATCCATAGAATGTTAACTCCCTCTTCAGGTAATAGAATTCATCTTCCTCTGGTATTAATTCTGTCCTAAATGCCTAAATATAGTACACAGAAAAACATCATTTTATTGAACAGTTGATTTATAAATATAAATAACACATGCAAATAGAATATATTTATTAGCATTAATATGAGACATCATCATCAGAATATGCTGTATTTTTTTTATTGAACATTTATCAAAACCTTTCTCCCAAATTAATCAGGCATTTGTTCTTTTGCATCAATTCATAAATGGTGGATCATTTCCAGATCTTAATATTTTTAATTGACTGTTTTCATTAATAGCATTCTGCCATTTAGATAATTATTTAAAATATGGGAAGATGGTACTTTCTGGTTCTGGTTCATAAGGACTGATTTTTTTTATTTTTTATTTTGCTACAACAATGTGTTTTCAACCCACTTTTATATTTAGTGCAGTGTTATGGACCACACTGACAACCTTAACTATATTATCAAGACATAATAATCCGAAGTTGTATATTTTCTCAGAAAATAGGGATATAATTCTCCCTAAACAATGATATTAGAACCATACACATGAGGAATTAGCATGGAAACCATGGTTGTGGAGAAAAAGCTTGTATTATTATAAGAATGCCTGTAGAATGCAGTGAAGGAGGCCTGGTTACCCAGGGTCTGATGGATTTTGTTATATGACAGTAGTTCCAGCAGAAGACTGCTTTCCTTTTTTCTGACTTAAATAACAGAGCATTGCAATGGACTACATCTACTTATTTTGTTCGTTTAAAAAATGTATGTGATCACTCATATTATATAAAATAACCCTAGGCAGCTAACAAATATACAAATAATAAAATGCACAAGATTAAAAGAAACTTTCACATACCATCAGATTCCATTGTCCTCTCTAAAAACACAAACTCTGGGCTCACCTCCCATCTTGGTCCAATGCCTAAGGGAAAAGCTAGGTCTCAATGGCCGTCCAGAAGTCAAGAAGGGTAGGGGCACTCTATATCTCAAGGGGAGGCTATTCCATAGAGTAGGCACAGCTATAGAAAAGGCTTACTTCCTAGAACCTGCCAGATGACAACACTTAATAGAGGGGACCTGGAGTGAGCCCACCCTATCCAATCTAGTAGGATGGGAAGATGTCCTCAGGGAGAGGTGGTCCCTCAATAACTTCACCCTGTGCAATATAGGCCTTTAAAGGTGATACATAGCACCTTGGATTGCACCTGGAAAGAAACTGACTCAGCCAGTGCAGCTTGTATAGCAGCAGTGTAGCATGGGCGAACTGTGGGGTGCCCAAATTGTATGCATTACTGTATTCTGGACCAGTTGAAGATTCTGGATAGTTTTCAAGGGCATCCTCATGTAGAGTGCATTGCAGTAGTCCAAGTGAGAAGTGACTAGGGCATGAGTGACTATGAGCAGGGCCTCCCGATCTATACTTGATGACTTTGGTAACTTCAGTCATTGAGGTCATCTACTGTCAACAGAGACCTTTAGTTTTCTCTGCACAACTCCACTCTGGAGAGAGAGTGAGAGAGTGAGTGTGTTGGAACTTGATTTTTATGTAGGTATCAGATAACATTGACTTCTTCATGCCATTTTTATGTTAGTTTCTGCCCTGTATTTAAAATGGCATTTTTATAGCAATTTAGAATCACTC